TGCTGAATATATGCCAAAATTGAAAGACTTTCGCTTTGACAATCTGACAAGATTTAAAATTTCGATTGGGACTTATGCTGGAACACTGGATCAATATCATTTCCAAAACGAATTGGTCCTTCTATCTTCTGACATGGGCATGCTTTTTGGGATTGGACTTAGGACGTTATTGGAGAGATCTGAAATTATCACGTTATTAGATATGAAGGGCTTGGGAAGGAATCTTTTCGATGAACTAGATGAAAAGGAATCTGTAAATTGGAAGGAACTTTTGGTTCGTAGTTGTTATGAGCTTGAATATCTTATTCATAGGGCTCTGCCGGGAAAAAGATTTGGACAACTAAAAAAGTTAACTTTATTGAGGCTACCTGCCATGAAGAGTCTTTTCACAGGGTCCGTAGTTAAAAGCTTCGTGCAACTCCAAGAACTAGGTATATACTGGTGTTCTCAGATGGAATATATTGTTGCCAAGGAAGAGGAAGAAGGCAAAAAAAGTACAGAAAGAATTGAGTTTCCAAAACTGAAGCACTTGTGCTTGAATGATCTCCCAATGCTTCGAAGCTTCTACCCCAACTCAGACAATGTTGCCATAGAAAGTCTGTTCCACAGACAGGTATGCTTTTGCTCTTGAATAGCGTTAATTACTTTTGCATAACAATAACAGGGTTACTTTTAGAAGGGCACTGCTATTTAAACTTAAGTGTAATGTTATTAAGACATAATTTGGAGATATGACTATTAAATTTTCAATCTGTTTCAACATTAAATGTAGTCTACTATCAATTCAATGATCAGTATATATTTAGTCCCCAAATTATTTTCCAATAACAGTAGGGTTTAGGGTTTGGAATTAAACTATAGATACAAATTGGGCACTTTTGAGACCAAATAAACACAAATTAGGAACTTTTGGGACTAAATATACACAAAATTAGGAACCATGTAATTGAACTATCAACGATTTTTTGACCGCGTTTGGGATTGACCCAGTTGGATACAAATTATAAACCTTAGGAACCAAATAAACAAAATTGGAAGATTAGAAATCAAATAGACACTAAATGCATACTTTAAAGACAAAAAATGTATTTTATCACACAAAAGAATTCCATAGCCACCACAGTTGTTTTCTCCTAAGTCATTTTTTATGCCAAACCACCAAATTCACCATCTTTCATAACCATCCATTTTCTCTCAGTAAATCTGGCAATAATCTCTCTCTCTCTCCTGCCATTTTCAACATGATCATGCAGAAAATTGAGCTAAAATATGCAGATTTGAGAAATTTAGTAATACAGAGTAGAATTACGATATAATTTTAAGTCAGATTCAAAATTTAGTTGAATTAAATTATGATACTTGATTAATATTAATGACTCAAAGTAGTATTAGATGTAATTCTATTAAATTAATTACAAGTAGGGTTGTTAAACATTTCGTAAGGACTTTTTGATATTTTATTTAGAGATTATACCATTTAAATTCAACAATGAAAAACCATAATTATCTTATTTATCAGCATAATCGCACTCGATTGCTGATATTCTGGATCCAAATACATAATTTTAGATTTTGAAGTGGACCAAAGGGACTTGTTGACAGCTCTAAAGCCATCAATCTTCACCAAAGGGATTTGATTTTTACCAATCTGCTCCACTTGTAAATTCTTCCTTCATTCCTTTATTTTTTTCTCTCCACAACCCCAAAATGATTTCAATGATCATCTCCAGCACCTTCGTCCACCATAATCAACTCCCCAACATAGAGAAACTACAACCAATTTAGTACATTTGGGGATCACATAACAATTAATAGAAAATCCTTTTCTAGTGTTACATAGGAATTTAAAAATAAATGTATATAATTCATATCATATGATAATTATTGGAAACATTAATTTGTTTGTAAAAGAACAAAAAGATATTGTGAGCTACCATGCTTGGACTAGATATTATATATGTTTTTTTGTAAAACGTAGTCCACTACACTTGATGTGTGCTGATTGTTTGATCACTTTAGCCATAAAATTTAGTTTGATAAACATTTAAATTCATAATTTTATTAATAATATTTTTCTTAGCTTGTAATATTTTTCAACTATTCGAGTCAAATACAGAGAAACAAAATCGATTTTGTTAACAGGAAAGTAATAATGACAGTAAAGTTAGGAGACAGAATCGATTAAAATACTAAGACAGATGATATAGGTCACCACTAAATAAGACATAAAAGTGTTTGAAATTCCCAACCCCAATTTTGAATTATGTAACTCATGGTATAGAGGTACTTCTGACTCATTAATTGTTGATATTGGTTTACATTTCTAGGTTGGTTAGAATATCTGAGAATATCTGACCTAGGTTGGTTATATCATACTAACACTTCTTAGTAGTTGTTATTTTCATCAAAATTTACAATCATTCTGGTCAACATGGTGTTTATGAATCTTGAAGCTACTAAATTGAAAATACGAATAACTAATAGAAATTGAGCGCAACAGAGATTGAAAATTGGTTGGCAGAAAAACTTCAAAAGAATTGAAAAGTGAGATTTGCAATTTTTAAAAAGACCAGTGTAAAATAACATATGTGAAAACTGAAATGACAAAAATATGGCCCAAAAATAATGAACAACAGGTTTGAGGTCTATCCTTTGAGCAATGACAGAGCCAGCATTAGGGGGGGGAGGGGGTTTGGTTAACATATCTTTTTTTTTTTTGTCACATCAATTTATAAAATTCAATGCCTAAATTGACTAGTACCTTTTGGCCACGCTTCAAATACTTTACCAAAATGTTTGGATAAATTTGGACATGTGAGATTCATCTTGTAATTTAAAAAAAATTATGGAATCATATTATTGTTGCATAGAAATTAAATTTTTTTGTCATAATATACGGTTTTATGAGTATGTAAAAAAACTAGTGTCAACTTCAAATTACAAAATCCTTTGGAGTATTTGAAAAAATCCAAATTTAAAAATATTTATCAACTAAGATTATTCTCATCAGTTAAGACCTCTGACGACTATGCAATGTTAGTGACATAGGACTTGCCTTTATTTGAGGGTTGAGTAATCGATGACAATATTATGTCAATAGGTAACTCCCATTTTTTCATCATTCATATGATTTGTGTGATCCTCATGAATAATCTTATGACACACCGATTGAATATTTTCAAGTTTTGTTGCCTAGCCTTGAGATGCTAGAGTTGCTCGGAAAAAACAAAGTACACATAGTGGACTGCCATATGCAAGTTGGGTCTTTTGACCAACTACGATACATATTTGTTTCAGATTGTGGATTGTTGAACTTGGCTGCAGCGGCTCAACTAGAACTGTTTCGAAGCGTCCAAAGCATTCGAATAGAGGGTGGTGATGCACTTGAAGTCGTGTTTGACTTGGAGGGGCTAAAAGCTAAGGGTGAACAGGCAGAAGTTATACTCGGTCAGTTAGAGTCATTGAAGATCCATTATTCATCTAACTTAATGCGTATATGGAAGATGGTTCCCAAAGGACTTCAAGGTTTCCACAATTTGAAAACACTTCAAATTTCCTATTGTGGGAGCTTGAGATATCTGTTGTCACCTGTTATGGTAAACTTACTTGTGAATCTGCGAGATTTACGCCTTGTAAATTGCGAGATGATGGAAGAAATTATTGAAACAGGGCAAGGTTACCCTGAAATCAGAATTATGGATGACATAGTCACAAACCAAGAAGGAGAAGAAGTGATTGTGTTCCCACGATTAAGCAGACTAGTCCTTTTTAATCTAGAAAACGTAACCGTTTTCTACTCTGGAAAGTGTGGACTTCAATTTCCCTCATTAGATCAAGTGCACATAAGCAACTGCCCGAAATTGAAATTTTTTTGTTCCGGACCGCTATGCACACCGAAGCTTGAAAGAGTGAACACCAGCAAAGATCAATGGCTTTGTATGCGTGATCTTAGCACCAGGGATATCGAGTGTGTTTGGATGGGTGATCTTAACAAGACAGTACAACACATATGAGAAAGGTACAACTTTATTCTTTATAATTTCTAATCAATACAACTTTCATTCTGTTTTTGTAATTTTGCCTTCAAGAAATGGAGGTAATAATTATGCATACTACTGTCCGGGTTATTTTATAGTGTGAACTATTTTCACTGTAAATCTTTTCCTAAAATCAAAACATCCCTTTTCATTTCTGTGTAACACAATAGTCCTTATCAGGGAAGCAACACAGTGATTTCACAAGAAGATGAAGATGATGATGAAGAAGAAGAGAAGGAAGAGGCAGAAGATGATGTGAAGGAAAAGAAGAAGCAGCAACAGTAGAAGCAAATGAAGAACCTGATGATGAAGATTAAGAAAAAGGCATTACTTTAAAGCGCTCTCTCTCTCTCTCTCTCTCTCTCTATCTGTGTGTGTCTGTGTGTTGAAAACCAGTAGATAGTTAAATAATATGATAATGTGTGTGACCCTTTGTTTGTATTATGACAAGTTTTGACAGTAAAAACACCACTCATCGCTGCAATAGATTGGAGGTTAATTTGTATTTTAGGTTGCAAGACAAAAAACATTCTATTGAGAGCAATTATTTGTAATTTGTAAGAAGTTTCACAGACTTAGGGTACCAGAATTGGTTAGTGAATTTTGAATTTCGGATTCCATCGGATTGGCCTCTGCTGGTTGTGATTGTCTGGCACCAGAATTGGTTTCTAATTGGGTTTTGGGATATGTACATATGTGTTCTTGCTTTATCTTTGTCTTTCAGGATTCAATGCCCAGCTCCAACATCCAAACTTCGAGTTACGCCGTTTTTCCCTTAAATTTCCGGTAGTGTTGCTCTTTAGTTAGAAAAAAAAAACTATGTAGTTTCCTCAAATCATCTCATAAGAACAATCACCTCAACACAAAATCAGAGCAGATATATATTGCTATTGACCAGCAAAATGTTGCTGCCAAAATCCAATACAAATGCACCAAATGATATCATATCGAACATGAATTCACCTAACCAGGCAATTCGCTCTTCACATTCTTCTTCTCATCTACCCTACCCCTCTTAAACAACCTTGGCCTTAGCTTCATGGGCTTCAAAAAACAAGCTTGAAATCTCACCATAGCTCTTAAAACCTCAACCAACCTCAGCTCAATCACATCTCTCGTTCCACTCGAGAATGCGTAGACACCACCGCGCTGCAGCATCCATTGTATTCATACACCCAATAAATGGTTCCTTTCTAACAATCAAATTTGAATCAAATGCAGTGCCACCATCAACCTTGACGTCATAATTTAAACAAACATGAACAACAAACTTTGATAGAAGTGGTACACTTGCATGTAACATCTCTTTGGCATGCTTCCAAGTCCGGTCAAAAGCAATCAAAACGTGATTATTTAAATAAGCATCACCGAATGAATACTTCGACGGACTTATCTACACTGAAGGTAATGTCTCCCTACCTGAAAAATGATAAAGTACTGAGTCATATATATATGCCATGAAAACACAAAAACAAGAACCCCTCGCCATCAATTCAACATGAAGAATGAATAAATGGCTGCAAATGAGCTAAGTCAAGACAATTCGTATGATGCTCAACATAGGTTGGAAAAATTGCAAGCTCCAAACTATGATGATTATTACGCACTACATGTATTTCAGATGATCTCAATTGTTCTTTGAGCCAGTCTAGGCTGAAGCTTGAGTGTTTAGGAATTTTGTGATAAGAAATTTATCTATCGGATAAGCTCAACTTAAAATAATTAGGAGCTCCAAGAAAGAATCAAACATGTTGTTTTTCTTTTTATTATCTCAAACCATGTATTTAGAACCTTTAGGCATGTTGACTAGCAACATGCTACTAAGATTACTCCTTCCATAAACTTCATACTGTTTACTAAAATTATACTCAACTTCTCCTTTTCTCTTCTCTCCCCATGAATAAACTAGTGACTAAAATGCACAACATTTTGTGAAGCCAGGCTTTGGATCTTAATGCATATAACTGATTTTTTTTTTTCACTTTTTTGCATCATTTGACTAGTTCAATTGAATAGCAGCTAATCTTCCATAGTCTAGAGTCCAGACTATTTAAACAAAAATGAAATTAGCCTAGTTATTATAATCCAATCTCGAATCCAAACTGACATAAACAAAATTAAGATATAATCCTATTAAATTTATTGCAAGTAGGGTTGTTAAACATTTCGTAAGGACTGTTTGATATTTTATTTAGAGATTATATCGTTTAAATTCAACAATGAAAAATTCCGTATCATAGTCAAATTTTTTTATCTTCTATGAAAGTCGCACTCAATTGCTGATATTGAAGATCCATTGAACATAGAATCAAATACATACTTTTGGATTTTGATTTGGACCTCTTGCTTGATCCACCAAAGGGATTGGTTGACAGTCCACAAGCCATCAATCTTCACTAATTTCGGGCACCTTTTTTACTTTGATTTTTACCAATCAAACCATCATCGTTGCAAGCAATCTGCTCCACTTGTAAATTCTTCCTTCATTCCTTTATTTTTTCCAATCAAACCATCATCGTTGAATTATGTAACTCATGGTATAGAGGTACTCATGACTCATTAAACATTTATACTAGTTTACATTTCGAGGTTGGTTATAATATTTAACTTAGAATGATTAGAATATATGACTTAAGTCGGTTAGAATATCTCACTTAGGTTGGTTATATCATACTGACACTTCTTAATAGTTGTTATTTTCACCAAAATTCACAATCATTCTGGTCAACATGGTGTTTATGAATATTAAAGCTACTGATCTGAAAAAATGAATAACTAACAGAAATTGAGCGCAATAGAGAATGCAAATTGGTTGGTAGAAAAATTTCAGAAGTATTGGAAAGTGAGATTTGCAATTTTTACAAGGACTAGTGTAAAATAACATACGTGAAAATGGACATGATAAAAAATAGTTATATCTGAGGAAAACGAGGGAGGAAAATTGGAAAAAGAGCCGGTCAACAAAGAGAAGAGGAAGCTCAAGTTGAGCAGCATTCCGTTCTCCTTAACATGCATACTTCACTAAGAATAGGAGTCCATCATGGAAACTCTTATTACTGTGGCAATTAATTTATCTGGTCAGCATGTGTCTCTTTAAAAGCCATGTGGACCAGTTCTTGCCTACACATCAGCTATACAGGTTAGTTTGCTCCAAGTTCATATGATGATGGGTGTTGAGGTTCTCAAATGATGTAACTAAGAAGACATGTAAAATGTACTAAATATGGTTTTGCACATTCAAGCTGTGAAATAGATAGACAGATAATAAAAACAGAGGGTCTTGAATTGGTTTTGTGCGACAAAGATGCATTTAGTTTTCCTTTGGTGAAATCGAAAACCTTGGCAGTGATATTGTTTCATTTGGCCGATATACTGCAATGCTAAGTTGTAAAATAGATAGACAGATAACAGAAAGTGAGGGTCTTTTGATTAAGTTAACAGCCATCATTCCGTTAAATATACAAAAGCTGTTTGTGTTTTTTTTCTTATCCATCAAACTTTTTTTGGCATCAACTCCCACAGAAACTGAGGGTCTTTTGATTAAGTTAACAACCAGTATTCCGTTAAATATACAAAAACTGTTTTGTGTTTTTTTTTCTTATCCATCAAACTTTTTTTTTGGCATCAACTCCCAGTATGGTGTATGTGATGTCAAGTATGCAAATGCTACTGTTTGGTAAATATCAGCTACTAATGAGAAGGCTTGCTGGGTGCAGGATTGTGTCACTTTGACAAGACAAAGAGTGAAAGAACTTAAGATCATCTTGGATGAAGCCATCTCTACCATGGAAGTGGGCTAAATTGTAGAAGACTGACATCAACGGCAACAACTGTTTTTAACTTTTACAATCAATTCATGAGAAAAAAAAAACCCAAAGACAATGATATAACACAAAGATACTTGCAAAAGTTTGAAAAATTAACAATTATCAAGTATGTTTCTAGCTGTACTTAATCCAATCCCATCGCATATCAGGGTTCTTCACCTTGCCCAAGGAAAAAGTGAATGAAGATCTTCAGAGGCTCAAAATTGCCTATGAGAAGAGAAGGCATCAACAAAGTAAATCCTCTACAGTTTACAATCATACAACAGAAATCTACAAAAGACCCCTTCCCCTTTGAAAGAATAGTACCAAAATAAAACAAAAAAAAAACAAATGCAGAGTTTGGTGTTGACACATGTGGTACATGTTTTTCTCCTCCCTTGCAAGTTGTTTTGTGTCGAAAAACTGTTTTTACCTTCACACTAACTCCATTAGCAGTGGATCACCCGCTGCCATTATTCTAATCAGCTTTATGAACTCCTGCTCACTGGCCACATTCCAAGAGTGAATTGCAGGCACTTTGGCAGAATAAATTTTGAAGAATTAGTTGGCGGTTTTTGCTCATAAATCATAGCATTGAACACCGAGTCAAAATTCTGAGCCGAGTCCATTGCCAAGAAGAACAGTGGTATTGCAACCTTGTGATGGATATCGAGATCGCCCACTAGATTTATAAGATTGCTGAAATCTGCTACAAATTTCCGAGGAATGTAGAATACCTCAGAATTACATATTGTAAGGCTCTGGTCATTTTTGATGGATTCTTTGTAATTGACTTGCAAGTGAACTGGCATTGTACTAACAACTTTCTCTACCAATTCTGCTTGCTTTTTAAACCAATCTGAGTTGCCATCAATTGGGACAGCAGCCCAAGACTTGGAGACCTACAAGCATAGAGTTTTTCAGAGAGAGACAGAGAGAAGATTATTGGTTGATTGTTGATGGTAAATATATTGGCTCATTATTCTTGGTCATTCATTCAGACAATAGCATTAATTTATTGTATTAGCCTTTTACCATTCAACATTAATTGGCCCCATGCATTACCAAGATTAACATTCTTCAACCCTCAAATTTTCTTTTGCTAACAACAGACAAAAATGGGTGATAGAGGAGACAAGAGTTTTGCTGTTCGTTTATCTTGTCTGTGATCCAGAGCTTAAGCTTGTCTGCTTGCTGCAAGTTCCAGTAATTAAGAATAGTATTGTCCTGGAGGAATAAGAACCCTTCTGCACTGCTGTGTCTAGCAAATAGTTTTGGCAAATAGTTATGACATTTGGCAAATAGAGTAATTGCACACCACACCTTTCAAACTTTCATATCCATCTCTAACACGCATCATAAGATAAATGATTTCATTTAAGGATTTTTGAAAAAGAAGACCAAAATTAGATAAATATACTCAGAAACTTCATCCAAAAGCATAAATAATACAAATTGACCCAGATTGTTGTTCAATTTTTCGTCATAAATTGAAATTTGTGAAGTACTGTATAAGTACTTCAGGCATGAGGAAGAAGTATGTCTTATCATTGCATATATTTGTTTGTGACCAATTTAATAGTGTTTTCGTATCGAAAGTAGATTTCATTATTCAGAAAAAGCTAACACTATCACATGCAACTCATATGATATGTCAACAGTCTATGAATTTGTACACAAGTCCATGCCCGAAACACTTGTAACTCACGTATTTTAATTTATGACAGAAAACTAAACGGCACTCTAGACGAGTCTCGCACTATTATCAACTCATAACATTAAAGGTATAAATTCAAATTTTTAATATTTGAAGGTACAAATTGAGAATTAAAGTATCTTATAGGGTGTGAAGTGAAATTAGTCATTTTAAAAAAGGGCAATGTTATTGAGACATAATTTGATAACTTAATTTGGAGACTTAATGATGTGATCATTTAATTACAATACTTTTGCCTCACATCACAACTTAGCTTTTAACTGATTAGACCTTGAAACTAAGGAAATAAAAAACCAAGAGAATCACAATAATGATAGCAATTAGCAAACTATGAAATTACAAAGCAACAAAGCATCCTAGTGAAATAGCAATTATCCTTATTACATCGTTCAGAATCCAAGGAAATTAAGGAATAACACATTTACAGCTATGTTACAATGAGTGCAAGAATTGTAATGAACAGATCGAGAAGATGTGAAGAGCAAAAACTTGACAGTTGACTAAAGTCCCCTAGGGGGGGGGGGGAACTAATTAAGAAGAAATATATGAACCACGTATTATCTAAATGTACACAAACTAGACTGTTTTTTCTACATGTGAATACACGTCCCCAAGAAGTTCACCCAATTATGTCAACCTCAAGTTGTGATACACTTGCGTTGGTTTGATAATAAGATACATAACATTCCAACTAATGCTTTAATGATGATTTAGTTGTTCCTATGTTAGATGACGAATAGATAGCTAAAATCAACATAAGTATGTCATAATAAACCCCAAGACCATGGAGAATAATTTGAATATGAAGATAAAAAATAAATTTTGCTAAAAAATATTTCATGACTAAGAGCAAAGAGTTAGAACATATTAAAGGAAAAAGACAAATTGTGGAAGATCTTACAATTGAAAATTACAAACTATTAATAGAAATTTTCATATCTAGGAACTCTACACAACCATAAATAATTGAGTCAAGATTTGGTTTCCACATCATGAAATTCCCTAAAACTACATAATCCTCCACCTCCACTTCATTGCACTATGTGATAATCTAAGCACATTTTTTTTTTTAATTCACTCTTCATATAAAATGTCTGATAGTTTGGTGGTCCGCGTAACAATAATGACATGCGCATCCTTCACGATTTGTTAAATTTCTCTTTACAATTGTTCTCAATATATGTACACTTTTTTTATGCAATTGCACACTTTTTTTTAAAAAAAAATTATGCAAAGAGCTTCAAATAGGTTACCAGTTTATATATGAATCATATATTTAATTTTCTTGTATTCACTTAATCTTTTCAGATTTTTGTCAAGTGTGTTAAATTTAAAAATTAAAAAAAGTCACATTTAAAGAATATGTTAAACAAATAATTCTAGAAACTTGAATAAAAACTGAAATTATAATTTAGAATTGTACTTATCCAACACACATATGCATCAACTAGTATATATATATATATACATTACTATATATATCATCGTCTAAGAAAAATCCCAAGAGAAAGTAATCATGAAAAAGAATAGTCATTATGTTTGTGGGGTAAAGTATAATTATTACTTAAATATTTAATTTTAAAGTATACTAACAATTAGGGGTGTTAATCCGAGTTCTTTCGACTTGGCTGACAAATTCTAACATGACACGACACGACAATAAGACATATACACGACACAAATTAATGGATTTGGATTGATTATTTTTTGACACAAATCTGTATATAACACAACCCACTAACATGAATTATTAATGAATCGTGTACGGGTTCTGACAAGTCCAAATTTGACTGGGCCAAGTCCAATATAAATAAATCGAAAAAACCCAATGAATAGCTTGACCGAATCTGGGTCACCCATTTAAAGGAGTCCAAACCACCGGAACCTAAAAAGGATTGAACCTTCTAATAAATCAAGAAGGAATCAAATGGAATCCAAGCCAGAGGAAGCACCCATTAGGGCGTCGCCCAAGCCACCCCAAGCCAAGCGCCGCCCAGTGCTGGCCCTCCTGTTTCCTTCTTCGCTCTCTTCTCTTGGCCACTCCAACTCAAGCCCACTCCAATGCCAACCCAGACTCAGGATCAAGTCCAACTTAGCTCAGGGTCTTCTTCCAATTAAATAGGAGCACAAGAGACATAATATTGGGATAGAGATCTAAACTTACCATGGTTGCTCACTTTCCAAAATGGTGGAAAGATCTCTTACTCACGTTATCGTCTTACTTTAACTATATAATGTACGTCCACTCAACATTGAAGGCACGCTTCTGAAACCTATATACATCCCCTTGACACACACCTCTCTCTCTTCTCAAAAGCACTGAAATATTCTCGGAGAATACACCCGGTGACTTTTGCTCATTAATAAAGACCTGCGGCCACTGCTTTCGTTCCCGAGAGTGAAGTAGGTCACCCGGATCGAACCACCATAAATCTTTGTGTTAATTGCCTATTTACCGTTTTAGCTTTTGATTGTCATTGATTACTTGTTAATTGCTCATTAATTGCACCCTTACGCATTTTTAACTATTAATTTTGCGTAAAGTCGATTTGTGCATCATCAGGTTCAACCTGTTTTATCCAAAATTGACCCAATTAACTTGTGTATTTAATTGGGTCGACACAAACCCCACTGACCTGTTTTAGCCCAAATGACCTGCCACTATATAAATGAGCCTAACCCTAAAACACACCCCTCATTTCACATCCTTTCTCATTTTTTCATTTCCACCGCACCTACTGCTACTGCTACTGCCTGCCTCTCCCTCCCTTCCGGGAGATGGAGTGACCAAACTGACTCCTCTCCTCACTCCTTCAAGTCAACTCTTTCTCTCGTATTACTACTGACTTACGAAGTGTGGTTACAGTGGGGGCTAAATGACCACACATTAGGTTCCATAATCCATTGTTACCCATCGGTGTAAGATAACAAGTTCAGTTTTCATGGTAAACAAGCAAATATTAACCATAATTTTTTGAATTGACTGTGAAAATATTTTAACATAGTTTTTTTTTTCCTTTTTCGTTTTTTGATTGAGACTCAAATGAAGTTCAACTTTTGGTCCTTTTGTCTGTTTTGGTTCGTAAAATGAGATAAAATACTTTATCACTTACCTGCAAACAAGACATGATCGAAAAAGTGGAGGTGGGTATTTCACTTCAAACACAAGTTAACCAAGGTTTACACCTGGAGCCCAACAATTTATTTTGTTAAGATGAACAGTTTCACTTCTGCCCAGTATTGTCGAAAAAGACGAAGGATTCTGACTAAGTGAATACCTTGAACTATGCATATACATAATCGATTTCATATTTATTATGCTTGATACTCTTTAATTCTGGCCAAATAATTTGGGATTGAGAATCAATCTCAACCGGTGGAAACTACCTACCTCCAACCCCCTTTCCGAGCGGGGCATTGGGGTCCAAAGCGATTTGTGATGCTTTTTAACATTCTTGTGGACGATCACAATCCAAAAGAGACATGTGAAACAGCACGAAAAAAATAAATTTTTATGAAGAAACTGTTTAGTTAGATGGGTATAATATAATTCGTGTGATTCATCCACCTCTCTTGGTGGATGCAGAAATCTTTCATCTTATCTGGGAACATTCTTGAGGACGAAACTGTTTAGTTAGTTCATTGAGCATTATTACTCCACACAGAGTAAATGAGCTGACGGAACCCACCTGACTCATTTTACACCAAGGTCAAGATGTGTTTGATTGAATTGAAAACAATCAACCCATTTTTTCTACCCAGATTTGCTGGTGAATGGCTGCCGGTAAATCTCATGTTTTCAGGTAAGCTGTAAGAATTCTCTGTTTTTTCTAATGAGCTGTTAGTTCTTGGATTGATATTAAATGTTTGGAGCAATAATTCAACAGAGTACAGTGATTGTGTGTGTGTTTTAAAAGGAAAATCACTTATTACGTGGTCCAGTTCTTTCGCTGGGCCAATTGTTCTTGTAACTTTTGACAACCAAGAAAAGAAGACATGGAAAAGATGGCATGGATTTCATCTACTAGAAACTGTCCTGAATTGCACCGAGTCATAAATCAAAATAAATTTATAGTGTATTACCCCCTACATTTTCAGAGTTTCCAAACTCACATTCCAAGAAAATGCTCATTTTGACTAGTTAAATATATTATTACTGAAAACAACAAGAAAATCAATTTTACTTTATAACATGAAGTTTGCACATATCAATCAACCTCCACATTTATCAAATTTCTCAAATCGATATGGAACTTCACCATAATTTAAACAATTGAAAATTACTGTCTCAAATGTTTTTTTTTTAAATTTAAAAATAGAGAAATATATAATTCATATATAGCTTCTAACAGTCATGCTAAACTTAATCAAGACCAAACTCAATGTGTAAAATATTAAAGACCATTTTGCAGTTCGATCATTGACGAGTTTTTTAATGTAAAAATTCAACCTTTTTGAATTTAGTTAGATTGAATATAGCCATCAACATTAATCAATTTACTCACTTTACCATGTACACACCAACATCATAGGCTTTACACATTTTCATACACCGCATATGTACAGTCATATTGATGATTTATTTGTACGTAGATCATTAAAACAAGTCTTACATAATATGGCATATTATAAAATATGCT